TGCTGGAATCATGCTGGTCTCTTCTGTCACCTGCCATTTCACCCTCAAAGGAACCCTTCCCACTGACAAATACCCTCCCCAAACAGTAAAAGGAAAAAAAAACAACCTGTGTGTTGAGCCAGACAGGCTGAGTCTTGGGTGGAGAACAGTTTTTGTGCCTGCTGGTCAAGGGGGGGGTGGCTGGCAACCCCCAGCCAGTGCCCGGGCACAGGAGGGAGGAGGATCCACCTCCCCCAGCACGTCAGGGCTTCATCCTGCTCAGTCTGAGGTCACGTTCGATTTCAAACTGCCTGTGATCCACACGTTCCAGGAATGCTTTCCTCTCGATGTACCTGCAGGGAAGCAGAGGCTGTGAGCACTGCCCCCAGCAGCCAGCACTGCCCCCAGCCAGGGGAAAAGCTGACCCAAAGGGACAAACGGGGAGAAAAAGGTGTCGTCTGCCTCCTTCCCTCTCCCCCCACGAGCTGATCACAGCACTGAGCATCTCCCACTGACACCAAAACTGCTCCATGGCCCTGCTGGGTGTCTCCCAGGGGACTTGCAGAGGTCTGGGGTGAAGGGTTCCTGTAGGTTGGAGCCATGGCCTGGCTGCTTCTGGTTCCAGCTCTTCACTTATGGCTGAGAAATGACCTTCACAACAGCTCAAAGGGGCTGAGGGCAGGTCCTGTGGAGGGGAGGCAGCTGGGGGGCTGCCCAGATGAACCTGCCCACCCACCCATGGCCAAGCACCTCCAAACCCCACCTCAGCAGCACAGTCCAAACTGGTAACGGGCAGGGGGATGCAAACAACTTCACCCTACAAACCTCCAGCAGCTTGGGGGTGCAGGCCAGGTGGGTTTCCCAGCCACAGAGCAGTTCCCAACCACCACTGAGTGTTTACTTCTCCCTCTCAGCAAGGCACCTGAGCCCTGCAAGGAAGAAACCAAGCACGTGCCTGCCTGGAAAAGCACCTTGCTGCTCATTAATGGCATGCAGCTGAATGTTAATGGACTTAGCTGCAAACCCTTGCCACAGATAGCCAGGGGCTGTGCTACTAATTAACCTACAGAGGGAGCGAAATTGCAATTCAAAACAGGAGCTGTAATTGAATCATCACAATTGTTTTTTTGCATTTGTTCCAGGGTGGCAAAGGCTGGGCTGTCATGACAAGGTCATTCTGCTCGGTGTGGCACGAGTCTCTGCCAGGAACCAGAGAAGCCCAGGGCTTGAAAGCAAGGCTGAAGGCTGCAGGCAAGAGGAGCATGGTGGGCTCCATGGCTTTGGAGGCTGGCAGTGTGCAGGCAGGTGCTTCAAGAGGAGTTTGAAGCCCCCTTCCCACCACCAGCAGTGGTTCCTCTAGGACAGCGGGGGTGATGAGGTCTCTGCTTTCTGCCAAAACCATGGAATGGGCACTGAAGGTGCTCCCAGGAGCAGGGCACCCTCGCCTCTGCTGTCATCCCAGCACTCCTGCCCACCCAGCCATCACTGGAAATGAACTCATCCGAGTTCATCTCAGCCCCGTGGGTCCCCCCTCCAGCCCATTCCCATCACTGTCTTGCACTGACACATCTGGGTCAGCTCATCTGGGCTGGCTGCGAGGGGCTGGGGCCTGGCCTGGTGCAGATGATGTGCTGCTGGAGGGGATTCTCTGGCCCCCTGCCCACAGCAGCTCAGGAAAGGCAGGCAGGGGAGGGCCACTTCCCTGCATCCCCAGCAGGGAGGTGACCTGCTCCTGGGGCCGGGCTTGGAGAGGCCACAGGAAGGAAGCTGGGGGGTCATGTTGTACGTTAGTGTGTCAGATTGCTGGGTGTGCAGCTTCCCCCTCCCTCTGCTGCTGCTCAACACCAACCCCAGCTGGGAAGGCCAGAGATAACCAGGGTTACTGCTGGTAACCTGGGAACAGTCCGAGGTAACCTGGGAACACCTGACTGCCTGCACAGCTACAGTTTGCAGCTCCTTCAGCCCCTCTGTGACTTGCTTCTCCCAGCCCAGCAAGGGGTCAGTGCCTTCCTCCTCCTCTGCAGCCTCTTGGGCAGGCAAGGACTGGCCCCTGGGGGATGAAAAAAACAGAAAGCGGGATGGCTTCCCCCCAGCCACTGCCAGGGGCTCTGTGTGGAGGAGGAACTGACATTATCCCGTGGCCTTGTCCTTGGCTGGCCACAGAAACACGCTGCAGGGGCTGGAGCAGACCCCACAAGGCACTGCCTGCACGTGGGCTGGGATTTATGGAGCAGGCAGCCTGGGAACAGGTCTGGATGGCTTGTCCTGCAGGCACAGGGAGGCTGGAGGTGCTGCTGGGCACTAACAGGGAGGCAGGGTGGGCACAGCCCCCCCCCCCCTGCAGCCCAAACCCTGTGGCTCCATCTTCAGTTCCCAGCCCGGGAGCTGCTGAAGGGCTGTGCAAGTGCAGGAGGGAGGCACAAACACCAGCCCTTGCTTGTCCAAATAACCTTTGTTACCTGAGTCAATACCTTCCTGTAAATCATCAGCCCGTAAGGAAACAGGGCAGATCCACAGCAGGAAGGAGAATTTGCTGGGAGAAGTGGCAGACTCTGCTAAGGAGCAGCTGCAAACTGCTCTGGGGAGGGTCTCCTGGGGGCTGCCTGTCCCCTGACAGTCCCTGTCACTGTCAGGAGTGTGTGGGTCTGGCCCCACACCTGAGCTGGGCTGCTCCCCCACTGGGCCTGTCCTACAAAGCCGACCCAATTAAGAGACCACAACAGATTTTCCATTTCCAAGGCACACCAAGCACAGGGGAGAAGCTGCTGCCCCCGCTCACTTCAGCCCCTCCTGTCAAATCCAGGACAGGCCCTCGGGAGCTGACACAACCAGATCCTGCTGCTGAGGAGAGGCAAATCATCCTCTGGGGCTGGCAAGGGTGGAAACAGCCACTGTCCCCTCTGCCTCAGGAACCCTGGGGCCAGGCTGGTAAGTGGCCCCATCACTCAGCCAGGGAGGTGGTGGCAAGAGGGGCCCTGGGCTGTGAACAGCGACTTCTGCAAGGTCACTGCAGACAAAAACTGCAATGCCTTCCCTTCTGAGCAAAAAAATAAATGCCTCCTGCCCTCCTCGAGACACACACACAAAGGCCATCCCTGCAGTGCACAGTTGAGCCTTTCCTGGTCAGGAAGAGGGTTTTAATTACAAAGCAGGGACCAGAGGTTTCTAACGCACATTGGCACCAGGGCTGAAGGCAGCGGCTGCTCCCTCCTGCCTGGGTGGAAAGGTTAACAACCACTCATCTGGTTCTGATAGAGACGTGTAAATGATTGCCCACTGAAGGGCGAGCACAGCCTACATTGTTAAAGGAGAAGAGGCAGCTGGAGAAGGGACAAGAGGCTCCTGCAAAAGGACCTGGAGCTGGTGGCAGCTGTGTCTGTATGATGTGCCCCTCGAGCAGGCTGGCTGCTCACTCATCATAGAATGCTTTGAGTTGGAGGGGACCTTCAAGATCATCTGCTTCCAGCCCCCCTGAATGGGCATGAGCCAGGTTGCTCCAAGCCCCATCCAACCTGCCCTTGAACACCTCCAGGGACTGGTCTTCCACAACTTCCCTGGACAACCCGTTCCAGCGTCTCACCAACCACACGTTAAAGAATTACCTCCCTATGTTTAACTTAAATTTCCCCTCTTCCAGCTTAAAACCATTACCCCTCATCCTATAATTCCATTCCCTTGTCAAAAGTCCCTCCCCAGCTTTCCTGGAGCCTCTTCAGGGTCTGGAAGGCCACTATAAGGTTGCAGCTCACATCACAGCAGGGGCATGTGCAGGTGGCCTGGAGCAGAAATGCAGGGGGCTGCTGTGTGTCCATGGGTGCTCCAGAGCAGTCAAGGCCCAAAGCTGTTGCCACACTTGGCAGACACTCAGGACATCTGTGCAGGGCAAGTTCTCCCTCCACATCTCATCAGGACACACCAGCCAGGTGCCACAGGAATCACAGAATCCTTCTGGTTGGAAAAGACCCTGAAGATCGAGTCCAACCATAACCCAACTCTACCAACCATAACTCAACTCTACCCAGTTCAGAGCTAACCCATGTCCCTCAGCACCACATCTACATGGCTTTTAAACACCTCCAGGGATGGGGACTTCACCACCTCCCTGGGCAGCCAGTGTTTAATGACCCTTTCAGGGAGGAAGTTAACAGGACCCTTCCCTGGAGGTGGGCTCTCCCAGTGCAGCCTGCAGCTCCTGATGGGGCTTCATGGGAAAAGCCTGCCCTCCTCCTGCATGGTCCATGGCCTGGCTCCAGACTCTTGGCACGTGTGCTCTGCCACACCTGCACGTGAGGCACCTCACTCCCCTCCTTGGATTCCAGGTATCCCAGAGGAACACCTGCCCTGCTCCAGCACTCCTATAGAATTGCTCTCCTTGGCCAAGGGCAACACCAGGGCAGAGCTGAGGGAGCAGGGGTGTTGTGGAAAGGTGCAAGGCCAAACTGGAAAAACCCCAGCTGTTATAAAACACCTACTGGAAACATAAAATCCAATCTGGTGGAATGCAGAAGCTCCAAGTGATTCCTACAGAGCAGAAGAACAGCTTACAATAAAAACACATTTTATGAGCTGTCCACTAAGCTGGGTACGTTTTCCTAGAGCTCAGCAAAGCACTTGTGGTGGAAACTCTGCTTCTGATCTTATTACCCTTCCCTGCAGTGCATGTTATTAACTTTCTGCTTTATTTACAGCATTGCCATTTACTTTTACGACCCTCCCATTAACTTCATGGGAGTGAACATTGCTTGATGAGCACCAGCAACACCCAGTGCTGCCATCATCTGTAACACAGCACCTTGCCAGCTGCTGGGGGCTTCCTCACATCCTGACAGGGGAGGAGTGATGCAGCTGGAACGTGTCACTTGGGAGACCAGAACTAAAACCATACCTCCCAGTTGAAAAGCAAAACACCAGAGGAGCAGGGCAATTGTGTTTCCTCAAGGGAGAGCTGCACCAGGCTGGTTCAGGCTGCATCTCTGCCTCTAGCAGGGGAGAAGACAAAGCAGAGCCAGACTGGACTTGAAGAACTCCCAAGGTCATCAGGTGCTTGCAGACTTCCCTGTCTCCCTGGGATACCTGGAGCAGTTCTGGCTTTATATATCCTTAAGGGAAATCCTTAAGCAATGCCATGGGTTTGCTGAATTCTCTCTGTAGCAAGTGAAGGGGTTGCTACACATACAGGAAGTGGTGGGAAAGGCTGGATTACTACCAGGAAAAGTCCCTCTTACCCATCTTTCCCTCGGTTGTGGATCGCCAGCTCCTCCACAATCCCCTCCTCCTCCTTGAAGCTCTCCCAGTCCAGTTTAGATTTCTCCAGTGTGCTCATCTTCTGCTTTTTGGAGCTAATCTTCCCCAGGAGGCTGCTCATGCCACTTGGCCTCTTCACCCTGACAGAAATAAGGGAGAAAACATGACTTCAGTGCAGGGAGGCAGCATCAGCTGGCACTTCAAACTGGAGCTGGGACATGTCACACCTGAGAGTGGTGGCCTTGGTGGTGAGTCACCTCCACTCAACAGATGACCATCAACTTCAGGCAGCCTGAAGGTGGCAAGGTCAGGCTTCCCAAGATCCTGCTTCCCAAGATCCTGCTCTGCCTGGAAGCAGTGGAGTTCATTACAAGCATATCTCAAGTGCTTGCTTTTCTTTTTTTTTTTTTGGTGAAAGGGCTTTTTCATTCATCTTCCTAAGAGAACAGAAAGCTTTCAGGCCAAAAGAGATCATTAAATCATCTAGTTTGACCCCTTGTATATACCAGGCCAAGCCATTCCACTGATCACCTCCGTGCTAAGCCCAGTTCTTTGTCTTCAGTTTAAAGTGTTGTTTTCTGGAAGGGATCCAGCCTCAGTGCGTCACCAGCACTGACAACACATCTAGGAATTAACCATTTCCTTGGTATCAATGTGCCTGTTTTCAACTTGATTTTGTGCAGCTTTAGGTTCTGTTTGCTCTCAGTCTCACTGTATGTTGGTGTCCAGGTTGGTCTCATTAGTCATGAGTACACCTTAATGAACGTCCACCTGAATTCTTTGCTCTGACAAAGAGCTGGAGCTCTTTATGCCTCTGACTGAAATGCATTTCATCCCAGTCCCTACATAATTTCTAAAGTTTTTGTCCCCCTGCTCATGTTTCAACACTCTTTGAAGATGGGGGCACCAGAACCACATGTAACCTCCACCCTTCTCCCAGTCACGGATCTATTTCTGCCCAGGATTGCCTAAATCCCATTACTGCCACCATCACAGGACACATGGAGTCCCAGTGCATGTGCACTGTGATCCTACCCCAGCTCCAGATCCCTGTTCACAGCAGGAAAACCACCTTGGTCTTTCATCTCCTTGTTCTTAGAGCACCAAAAAAATCCCACTCTCTTGGTGGGGCCCCCAAATCTCCCCTTTAGGGTGGGAAATGCACACAGAGGGACTCAGGTCAGCCAGGTCACCCTCTGAGGAAGACAATTCTCAGGGCTAGGAACCCATAAAACAAACTCCTATTAACCCCTTCTTAAACCCTCCAGGATGGGGTGGGGGGGGGACACAAACAGCATCTCATTGAACTCGGTGTTTACACACATTCCAGAGATAACTCCAGGTCTGCAGGGCCTTTGCCTCTGCAAGAAGCAGGGAGAGGAAATTATTCTCGTTCCTGAGAGATGGAGGAATTTAGGGGGGGGGGGAAGACCCAGATTCTCTTTCCTGAGAGACAGAGGAATTTGGGGGAGGGTGGGGGGGTGGTCAGGGAAGGCAGCCAGGTGAGCACCACAGCCTCCTCTCCACCAGTTCCCTCCCAGCAGAGCCTGCCCAGGGGTAGCTGTTCTTGGGAACAGATCCAAAGCTGTCCTTCCCGGGTCATTAGTGTGGTTTATGCTTCCATAATTTGCAAGCCTCTAAAGGGAAATAATTCTGCAGTTTATGTGGAATTAAATCAAAGAAAATCACATCTTTGGAAGCCACAGCCACTTGGGGTTGCAGCTTCCTGAGGTAGCTAGATTTGGGCTACAAACCCTGAATTAAAGGCATCCTGGCAGGCTCCATAGGCACTGGGCAAAGCTGCTGACCCTTCCTCATACTGCCCAACCAGAGGAGCAGAAGTGTCTTAGGACCTGGCCCTCTTGTTTCTTTCAGTCCTTGCCCACTGCTGGAGGACTTGCCAGCAGCCAGCACTTCTCAGTCTGTGGGGACACAGAAGATGGATGCTCTTTTGGTTCACCTTCATCCCTGAACATCTCATCAAGGTGGCTCCAGCCCTTCACATCAGGATCAAGCCCTGGTCCTCACTCAGCCTCTGACCCTCCCTTATTTTTCTAGGCATGATGGCTCCAGGGACCCTCATCTGCAGGTAGCAGGGAAGTGGGGCAAGATAAAATTGGAGAGAGATGAGATTCCCACATCTGGCCACCCAGGACTGCACGTGAGCCTTGCACAAACCCCAAACCCAGCATCAGATGCATGTTCAGGTCATGAGGGAGTGGGAGGAGAGGAGATACCACTAAGAGGGCAAAACTGAACAAAATATTGGGCAAGCAGCTCCTGTGGCAGCCCACAGCTGCCTGGAAGGCAGAGGCTGGTTCTTGTGCAAGGCTGCTCCTTACACTGTGCTGGGAGGCCTTGGGTTCAGCACTGGACTTAAAAGATGCTCTGAGGGAGATCTAGAGAAGTGCAGTGGCTGATCCAGCTGGCAACGCTCCTCTCCCTCCAGCCTGGCAGGCAAAAGGTGTTTAAATTAACACACGGTATTCAATAACATTTCTCTGAGTACACTTAACTTCCCAGACACACTTGTGCTTCCAATTCTGCCTACCTTTGAAGTGGGAGAAGCAGGGATGCAGCAACTGAGGCTGTTGTCCCATGTCCCTACATGTCTCCCTAATGTGTTTTTTTGGGGCAAAGAGCCCTGATGGTGTAAGAGCCACCTCACCCACCCAGGGGCACTCACACCTCACCTGCATCTGCCAGCTCTTCTGTGGGTGGGAGAAGATAGAGCAGGCACCTGGGAAGCTCATGTCAGGATCTCTCCTGGGTGTCAGAGTGACAGGCAGGCTCTGAGGCAGGTTTGCACATGCCAGGGCTGATGTGTTTTTGGCTCAGGATGCTGGTGGAGAAGAGCTGAGCTGGGACTGGGGCCCACCATCCAGGCTGGGCTGAGGCACACGTCCCTGCATGGAACACAGGCTGGGACATGCTGACAGGCAACTGTCCTCCCCAAACCACCCTGGAGGGTATCCAGAGGAAAAGGGAACCAAGGGCAAGGTGGGTCATGGGGAGAGGTGGTGCTGGTGTCCCAGCAGGGAGCAGGGGCTGCAGGCTAGAGGGAGGTTGCTCGTCACACTTCTTTTCTCTCATGGTAATTCCTGGCATAAATTAACACACATCCACCTGTAACAGTGCTCCTGTATCTCCTCTTGGCCATGGACCTCAGGACTATCCCTTAAAAGACACAACTCACTCAATGGTTGAAGTTGCAAAGTCTAGGTTATGAAGATGCACCTCGACCAAGGGCTTCCAGGCAGCCTCAAGAATACCTACACATCAATGGTCCCTTCAAGGCAAGGGAAGCTCAGAGCAGGTTATGTTGCACTCTTGTGTGGATGACTGCTCCAAAAACACTGCCAACACCTTCAGATAGGCCCTGGGCTTGACAACCTGGCTGTGCTCCTGCCCAGATGGACAATACTGTGCTGTCTGCAGCAGGACCAAGCTTGGCCCAGGTAACAAGACAGGACCAGGCACAGGCTGAAGGACATGTTGGAATCTGCTGCTGAGTCTTCACCCTGTTCTGAGCCTTTCATCACTCTGAATAAATCCAACAGCAAACCTGGGGGTGGGAATTCCTAGGCTTGTGCCAAAATGCAGTAAATGAGAGACATTAAAGTCCAATTAAAAACTTGCTTGGCCTTAAATGCCTCATCTGTTTAAAAAGCAAGTTAGAGGGGCCTGATTAATTGCATTCAGTGCCAACAAGAGGAATTATTACCCTTTTTGTACTCATTAAGGGTATCTGCAGTGGCATCTTTAATCACCAAGGCATTTAAAAGAGAGAAAGTAATTAGCTAAGACATAAAGGATCCCGGGGATGAGAATCAGGACAATTGCCTATTTAGGACACAAAGACACGCTCTTAATTTCCACAATTACAAAGCACAGCCCAAATCAGCCCCTGAACCAGCAAAGAAGTGTGCTGGTGAGCTCTTTGTTGGCAGGGGGGCTCCCCTGCACCCCTCCAATGTCTTCAGGACAAGGAGCATGCCTGTGCATCACCCAGTGTGGTGGCACACAGGGACAAACTGTGAACCAAGGGCTTCCTTGCTGTCCCACCATGTTGGACATGCTGTGAATTCCTGTCCTTAACCACAAGGCTTCCTCCCATCTCAGCATTACCCTGCAGCCCCAACAGGAGCTTGGAGAATTGCTGCTATACCAGTGATAAAGTGTCACTGTCACATGTAATCCCTGCTGTCTTGTACCAGGAAGGTCAGCAGCATCCAGGAGATGTGTGCCTGCCTGCAAAGGGACAGACTCCATCCCAAGCTTTAGAACATCATCTTCCAGCAACAGGAAAACAGGGCTGCAAAAGGCCTTGTAGTGCAACCTGTCAGCCAAAGCAAGATGAGCTCCTCTCCCCCTCACCCAGAGATGGGTGCTCTGAAGTCACCCTGACACCAACCCCACACACACCAGAAGTTTCAGTACTTTGTCAGCCTTTCACTTCTGGAAGTTTTCCCCAATGACTCCATTTCCCTGTTCAGCCTATGACTCGTTATCTTCTTCCTAGTAGCAACTCAGAACAGATCATCCCCTCACTTTTCTAAGCAGCCTTTTAAGTCTTTGAAAGCTTTTCATATCTCCCCCCTGCTCTTTCCTAGACTAAACAATCCCAGGTCCTTTCAAGCTTTGCTCATTCCTCACGGTTTCCAGCTCTCTGACCACTCTTGCTGCTCTCCCTGGACTCTCTGCTCTTGGCCCACATCTTCCTCAAAAAGCAGCATCCAAAATGGGAAAGAGAAGGCTCCAGCCACAGCTTTCCCAGCACCAGGAGCAGGAGGAATTCTTCAGATGCCTTGTGAAGCATGCAGGTCCTTACACAGCCTCCTCTGACGTGTGCCCTCTTCACAGCCCTGTGACACCATTGACTCATGAGCCTGTGATTCACTGAGATTTTTTGTCTGCTCTGCTGCTGCCAAGCCACTCATTTCCTTCCTTGGACCCTGCAGATGAGTAGTGCTACCTAAAGGCCAAGCTTCACACTGCTCCTGTGCTCTTCCTCAGGCAGAAGGACTCAACTCAAACATCAGCTGTAACATAAAAACCACTTCCCTGCTGCCTCCCTGAAGTGCAGAGCAGCACCTCAAATCCCAACACCAGAACAAGATGACAAGGAAATGTCACCCAG